AAATTCTAGAAAATGCTATACCATGAACGAACACTGGAAACATTATGCTAAACCAAGTAAGCTAGACACAAAAGAACAATTACTGTATAGTTCCAGGTATATGAGGTAATAGGCAAATTCACAGAGACATAAAGTAGAATAAGGGTTACCAGGGCCTCGGGGGAATGGGAAGTTAATTGTTTAATGGGTACAGTTTCTATTTGGGACAATAAAAAAACTTTTGGAAGTGGATAGTGGTGACGGTTGCACAACATCATGAATGTACTTAATGTCACTGAATTGTACATTTAAAAATGGTTAAAATGGTAAATGTTATGTGTATTTTATGACAATAAACAAGCAACCAAAACACATCACAACCATGTGGGATTTATCCTGGTAATTACAGGATGGTCTAATATTTAAAAATTAATCAATGTAATCATAATAGCAGCCTAAAGAATGTCCATTCATGATAAAAACTGTTAGCAAACTACAAATAGAAAGAAATTTTCCTAACCTGATAAAGGTATCTACCTAAACCTATAGCTGACACTTACTGGTGAAAGTCTTTTCCCTTAAGATCTAAAACAAGGAAAGAATGTTTTCTCTCACAGGTCCTCTTCAGTATTGTACTAATACTGCTAAGACATGAAATAAGGCAAGATAAAGAAATAAAAGGCATACAGATTGCATAGTATGATTGTCAGTGTGTAAAATCTCAAGTAACCGGGACGCCTGGGTGGCTCAATCAGTTCGGCCGCTGCCTTCGGCTCATGTCATGATCCCAAGCTCCTGGGATCGAGTCCCTTATCGGGCTGCTTGCTCAGTGGGGAGGCTGCTTCTCTCTCTGCCTCTGCCTGCCACTTTGCCTGCTTGTGCTCTCTATCTCTCTCTGACAAACAAATGAATAAAATCTTTAAAAAAATGTTTAAAAAAAATCTCAAGTAACCTATAAAATACCTCCTACAACTAAAAGTTGCAATTAGCAATGTCACAGGATATAAGGTCAACATACAAAAATCAACTGTATTTCTCTGTATTAACAATGAGCAATTGAAAGCCAGAATCTAAAAAATAGTATCATTTACAGTCACTCTGTGAAAAATGAATTGCTACAGTCCAAGAAAACATGTACAGGATATATATGCTTAAAACCACAAAATATTGGGGGCACCTGGGTAGCTCAGTGGCTTAAAACCTCTGCCTTCGGCTCAGGTCATGATCCCAGGGTCCTGGGATTGAGCCCTGCATCCGGCTCTCTGCTCAGCAGGGAGCCTGCTTCCCCCGTCTCTGCCTGCCTCTCTGCCTACTTGTGATTTCTCTCTGTGTCAAATAAATAAATAAAACCGTTAAACACAAAATATTAGTTGGAATTGTAGAAGAAATTCTGACAAAGAGTCGTACTACTTGAGGAATTACACTACTTGATTTTAAGACTTATATAGAGCTAGGCGTGCCTGGATGCCTCAGTTGGTTGAACAGTGGACTCAATTTTAGCTCAGGTCATGATCTCAGCGTCCTGGGATTGATCCCCATGCCAGGCTCCATGCTCGGCAGGGAGTCGGTTCAAGGATTCTCTCTCTCCCTCTCCCTTTGCCCCCTGCCCTGCTCTCATGTGCACTCTCTCTCAAATAAATAAACAAATCTTAAAAAGAATAGACATATATAGCTAGAGTAATCAAGACTGTGAAGTATGTGCAAAAAAGATACATAAATCAGGTGCACCTGGGTGGCTTAGTAGGTTAAAACACCAACTCTTTATTTTGATCCCAGGGTCATGTGTTTGAGCCCCTTGTGGAAGCTGCTTAAGATTCTCTCTCTTTCTGCCCCTGCCAGCTCATGCCCTCTCTCTCACTCTCTCTCTAAAAGGAAAGAAGGGAGGAAGGAAGGAGAGGAGGGATGGACGTAGGGAGGAAGGGAGGGAGGGAGGAAGAAAGGAAGACAAACCAGTGAAGCAAAAGAGATATAGACTCAAGCTAATACAGTCATTTAATTTCTACAAATGGGGCAGTAGTAAGTTAATGCAGGAAGGACAGTTCTGGAATAATTGTATATCCATATGCAACTCCCCTCCCCAAATTCTTGACAAAAATTAACTCAAACTGGATCATATATATCAATAAAAGCATAAGATGTGGAAGAACACCTTTGTGACGGACGATTATGTTAAGAGTTCTTAGATAAGACATCAAAACCATGATTCATGAAAGAAAAAAAATTGGAAGCTGAACTTTACCAAAATAAAAAACATTTGGGGCGCCTGGGTGGCTCAGTGGGTTAAAGCTTCTGCCTTCGGCTCAGGTCATGATCCCAGTGTCCTGGGATTGAGCCCCACATCGGGCTCTCTGCTCTGCAGGGAGCCTGCTTCCTCCTCTCTCTCTCTCTGCCTGCCTCTCTGCCTACTTGTGATCTCTGTCTGTCAAATAAATAAAATCTTAAAAAAAAAAAAACGTTTGCTTTGTGGAAGACACTGTTCAGAAAATGAAATAACCTATAGACTGAGAGAAAGATGTTCACTCATCACATAGCTGATACAGAACTTGCAATCAGAATACAAATCCTCTCAAGCCTCAACACTAAGATAACTAACAAACTGATTCAACAACTAAAACACAGTTTACCAGACAAGATATATGGATGGTAAATCCGTCTGTGAAACAACGTCCCTACTAAGGGATAAAATAAAACCATGATGTGATCTGCTACATACTTTCTAGAATGGCTTAAGCAAGAAAATACTGATGATATCAGGTGATGACAATGATGCAGAGCACCTAGCTCTCATATATTTCTAATGGGAAAGGAAAAATGATATAACTGCTCTAGAAAACAGGTTGGCAGTTTTTTATGTTAAACCCTAACACTCACCGTAGCATCCACCAATCCCAATCCTGAGTCTTTACAACAGATATAAGTGGAGTTTTCCTTAAAGGGCTAGAGAGTTGGGACACCTTCGTGGCTTAGTTGGTTGGGCATCTGCCTTCGGCTCAGGTCATGATTCCAGGGTCCTGGGATCGAGTTCTGAGTCGAGACTTGCTCAGCGGGGAGCCTGCTTCTCCCTCTCCCTCTGCCACACCCCCTGCATGTGTGTGTGTGCTCTCTCTCTGATAAATAAATAAATAAATCTTTTTAAAAAGGGGCTAGAGGGGCGCCTGGGTGGCTCAGTGGGTTAAGCCTCTGCCTTCAGCTCAGGTCATGATTTCAGGGTCCTGGGATCAAGTCCTGCCTCGGGCTCTCTGCTCAGCGGGGAGCCTGCTTCCCCCCCACTCCCTGCCTCTCTGCCTACTTGTGATCTCTGTCAAATAAATAAATAAAATCTTTTAAAAAACAAAATAAAATAAACAAGGGGCACCTGAGTGGCTCGGTGAGTTAAGCCTATGCCTTCGGTTCAGGTCATGATCTCAGGGTCCTGGAATCAAGCCCTGCATTGGGCTCTCTGCTCAGCGGGGAGTCTGCTTCCCCCTCTCTCTCTGCCTGCCTCACTGCCTACTTGTGATCTCTCTCTCTGTTAAATAAAAAAAAATTTTTTTAAAGGAGCTAGAGAGTAAATATTTTAGGCTTAAAGACATAGGTCTCTGTCACAACTACTCTGCAATGTCACTGTAGTGCAAAAGCAGCTATAAGATATGTATGTAAATGAAGGGGCAAAGCTGTGCTGCAATAACATTTGCAGAAATAGGCAGCCAGCCCATAGGCCATAGTTTGCCACCTCTTGCCCTAGAGAAATGAAAACTGTGTTCATTGAAAACATGTTTACAAATGTTTATAGCAACTCTATTCATAATTACCAGAAATTGGTAACAACCCAAATGTCCTACATATGGTAAATGGCTAAACCTGCGGTACATTCATACAGAACTATTACTCAGCAAAGAGGGAGAATAACCTACATGCAAGGACTTGGATGAATTTCAAAAGCATTATCTAAGTGACATAAGCTAGTATCAAAAGGTTACATACTATATGATTTCATTCATATGATATTCTTGAAGTGACAAAAACTAGCGTGTAAAGAAATAATCAATGATAAGGGTTGAATGTGGGGTGACTCGAAAGTAGTAATGGGAATGAATCTTGGGGGATGATGGAATGGTTCTGTATCCTGACTGTGGAAGTGATTCTATGAATCTGTACATCTCAGAAGTCATAAAGCTATATACTCCCCAAAAGGTCAGTTTTTTGAGATGAGTATTTACCATTAATACCAACATCAATTCTCCCTATTAAAAAGAGAGTAATCACCATTTTGTGCCTTCATTTCCTTATCACCTAATTCTTCCTTAGCCATTTGCATGCTGTTTTTTGTCTGTACCATTTCTTTCAAAAATCAACTTTAAGGAAGCAAGTTTAAAGAGTTTCTCATCATTCCTGTTTTTTTTTTTTTTTTTAAGATTCATTCACTTATTTTAGAAAGAGAAGGAGAGTGTGAAAGCAGGAGCAGGAGGGGCAGAGGGAGAGGGAGAGAGAATCTCAAGCAGATTCTGCACTGAGCGCAATGCCTAACATGGGGTTCAATCTCATGATCTAGAGATCATGACCTGAGCCGAAACCAAGAGTTAGATGCCTGACTGTGCCACCCAGGCACTGCAAGCTCTGTATTTTTAATAAGGTCCTCAGCCTGACATGGGGCTCAGCCTCAGCACCTGAGATCAGAACCTGAGCTGAACCAAGAATATGATACTTAACCGACTGTGCCACTCAGCCTCCCCTGTTCCTGATCTTTTGGTAGCATTTTATGCTGTTGATTATTCTCTCCTTAGAGCTCCACTTTTTAGCTTCTGGGATGTTGTACTTTTTGGATTTTCCTTCAGCCACATTGAGTGCTACAGTTACATAACCTGTTCCTTTTTATGTTTAATGTCTGAACAACAAGCGACAGAATTATATAGAACTGTGCTGTCCAACACACTAGACACATATGACACTTGAGCACTCGAAATGTAGCTACTGCTACTGAGCAATGAAGTTTTAAAGTTGATTTAATTTTAATTAATTTAAATTTAAAAACTTGATATCTGGTGTTCACTTCTGCAGCACATATGCTAAAATTGGAATGACACACAGAAGATCAGCATGGCTTCTGAGAGTGGATGACATGCAAATTTGTGAAGCATTCCATATTTACAAATTAACAAAAAGATAAACAAACAAACAAACTTGATATTCAGTTCAATTCCTGAATACTTCTAAGAATGTCTGGAACAACTTGGGTATATTAATCTATTTTTTTAACCCTAAATCTAATCTAAATCTAAATACAGATCAAGTATTTTTCATGAAACCTTGGCATCTGAATTAAGATGCAAATGTAAAATATACACCAAATTTTAAATGCTTAGTACAAAAGGTAAGATAGTTTATTAACAATTTGTTTATATTAGTTGCATGTTGAAATTGTAATATTTTAAGTATATTGGATTGAATAAAAGATTATTAAAATTGGTTTCTCCTGTTCCTTTTTACTTTTTAAAGTGTGGTTTCTAGAATATTTTAAGTTACATGTTGGGTCACATTAGACAGCACTGATTTAGGGGACTCAGTTCCCATAGATACATACATATGTACATATATACACACATATACACATACATGTATATGCATACAAATACATATACATACGTGTGTGTGTGTGTATCCCTTAATTTATTATCTGTACAAGCTTTGTCTCACATAATTCCAGGCAGGGTTGTGCTGTCATGTGATAGCTCCAAACCCTCTGTCAGTTGATGGGTAAAAGATCCATTTCTGCACATGAAAGACAGTTAAGGCTGTATGGATGTCAAGAGCAAGCAAAGAAAAAGTTTTAAAATGAAAATAACTTATGTCCAAGAACCAAAAAATGGCAATGTGCGGTCACGTTGGTTCTTTTTGTTTCTGAGGTTCTTCATGAACATTTTAAATCTCATCTTGTCTATTGAGTTCAAAGGCCATGAGAATATTAAAAATGCTGTCTACAAAGCAGTAGTTTAGAATTACTGTAGAATCATACAAATTGGGAAAACAGAAAATGATGGGATGAACTGACAGTATGAATGATTCTGAAGAAAAAATGAATCATGTGATATATGAAAGATGTATCTGCAGTTGATGATAATTAGCAATAGAGGCTGGAGGTATTTGAAATGAGAGAAACTTGTTTGACCAGCATCAATGTTAAATGCCTGTTAGTTCAATTAGTTCAGAAGTTAAGGACTCTGATTAATCAGGTAAAACTGCTGCTAATGAAAAATGTCATAAGCCAAATATTTCTATGGATTCAACTCTCACTTGAATTTGCAGTGCATCAACATGAGTAATGGAGCTATTAGAGTGGAATTCATCCCCCTGCTAAGAAGTTCCTTTGTAGAGAACATTATAGTTAGATGTATGATTTGGAGGATGGGTAATTACTTGTGAGAAATTTGGATGTAACTGGTTTGTGCTGGGAAAATATGTGGACTAGAATGGACATCATCATGGAGAATGTCTATTTGAAAACAGAGGTCAGACTCATCTTCCTATTTGGTGAAAATTAAGGTTTTTTTTTTTTAAAGATTTAGTTAATTAATTTTAGAGAAAGGGTGGAGAAGAGGGAGAGAAAATATCCAGCAGACTTCCTGCTGAGCCCAAAGTGGGGGCTCAGCCCCACAACCCCGAGATCACGCCCTGAGCCAAAATCAAGAGTCAGAGGCTTAACATACTGAGCCACCCAGGTGTCCCCCAACTTTATGTTTTGAAGCATAATAAACATACTTAAGAAAAGTCATCTGAGTTCCTCAAGAAGATTCTCCTTTTGGCCCACTCCTTTTCAGTTTATTTGACTTAAACAGATTAATGGTAGTGATTTTACTAGGTAAGTGTGCTTGAGAAAGTTGCTTGCTGTTCACTCCCTTGGTTTCCTATCTGTAAAACCAAGGATGATAATATATAATAGTACCCTCCTGAAGCTGTTGAGAATTAAATGAGCTAATACATTTAAAATGTTAAGAGAAGGACATGGAACAGATCAAGTGCTTATTTGGTAGCTATGGCTGTGTTATTAACAACACATCCAAGGCAAACTCATGGTTTCAACTGTCACCTAAGGTTTATGACTTCCAATCCATCACTGATCTTCATCCTACTATTCCATCTATATATTAGGTATCTCCACTTGGATTTATAAATGGCACCTAAAGGGAAATAAATCAACTATCTAAAATAGGATCTTCTATCCCAAACCACATTCTCTTTGTTGTTTTTTTTTAAGCTTATCTATTTATTAGAGAGAGAGAGAGAGAGAGAGAGCGCGCACTAGTAGGCAGAGCCCCAGACAGAGGGAGAAGGAGAAGCAGCGTCCCAGCTAAGCAGATAGCCCCAGCTAAGCAGATCCCAGGATCCTGGGATCATGACCTGAGCTGAAGATGGATGCCTAAGAAGGACTGAGCCATCCAGGCACCCTAAGTGTTATTTCTAATATATGTCATACTACTAATCTCAGAATCATTTGTTTTATTCACATCCAATATGACTGAGATAAAACAAAAGAGAACACTCTTTTTCTTCCCATTGTAAAACAATACTTGCTGATTGTAAAAAATTTGGGAAGATATGGAAAAATCAAAAAGGAGAGACTGGGAAGATGGTGTGTAGAGGCCAGGTTAATTCTAGGTGATTGGATACAGTTATATTTTGCCTACAATAAAAAAAAAAAGATAAAAATAAGAGTAGTTTGTCCGGTTAAGCACCCAACTCTTGGTTTTGGCTGAGGTCATGATCTCCTGGTCCTGGGACTGCGCCCCACATGGGGCTCCACACTGGGCTTGGAGTCTGCTTACCATTCTCTCTTTCCCTCCCCCTCTGCACACGGCCTGCACCACTCGGCCTTGTGCACATGGATGCTCTCTAAATAAAATCTTTAAAAAAAAAGATAAAAATTATCCATAACCACAAATTCTAAACTTCCAGCTAAAAATTTCAACATATTTCATTTGTTTGATATTTTCCCAGATAATTAAGACCCTATTGTATGTATACAGGGATATGATCTTTTTATACCTAATGTCTTCACCACTGAAAACATTTTATAAAACATTTTAAACTAAGATTTTAAAATTCAAATTTCCAAAGTAAACTTTTTTTAATGACTTTTGTTTTATGGCTACAATATATACTCAGATATTCCTGAAGATAATAATTTTATTCTCACAAGTTTTCTTCTGCTCTTTGTTTTGCTTCCACTGGTACTTGTTCTAAGCTAATTATTACACTGGATATTCTAAAAAACCTGCTAGTACCTTGTTTTCTGTAGTGAAAACATGAGTGAATGGGCTGTGTAGGTGAATGTTGAGTTTTTTGCCTTCATCCATGGTAGAACAATTGAGGGAGGCCTACTTATGTGAACATAAATTGTTACTAAGTGTTACCGCTCACTTCATTTGTACTGCTTTGGGGGTCCTGGCCCAAAATGATTTTGTAGGAGGGAAAATCATTGTTGTACATTAATAGAATTTTGTTCTTGTTTTAAATTGCTCTCAAGAACAGAATGACTATAAAACAGAAGTGTTTTTCTTATAAAAAAGAGGTGTGGGAGATGTATCTTACCACCAAAATACAAAGAATTTTAAACCTCCTTTTAAAATTAAACTGTGTAATTTCATAAATCAGATAATTTAATCAAAACAAAATACTGTTTTTAAATGGTAAATGTATTCTTTATTGTTTAAATATAACTTGAATTCAAAAGAAGCATTTTCCAGACCTGTATGTAAGTTCAAGAGTATCACCAATTTGACTTTGTTTTTAAGTCGTCATAATATTTGACTTCTTTAATAAGTTGATTTATTCCTGTTCTGAGAAAGCCATTCAATAAAAAGCAGTCTCGGAGTGGGGGTTGGGGGGAAATAAATATTTTTGAAGATTTGGAAAATACAGATGACTCATGTTTAGATGACTACTATAAACATTTTGGTAAATACCGTTCTGCTATTGAAATATATATATTTGTATATATATATATAAATATAAATATAAAAATGGGGGGCTCTTCAAATTATACAATTATAACCGTCCAAAAACAGTTATTTGTGGCCTTTTAATTATGTGCATAATCATATAACGTTCTTTTAAAATACATGAATTTTAACATGGATGCTTCTTATTCACACGTGTCCGACATAATATATTTAACCAACAGCCTCCAGAAAGGTGTTTCCAATTTTCACGCTCACCAAAATGGCCTGAGAATGCTTTTCCCTTCCACAGCATCACGTAATTAAAAGAAGAAACGGCCGAAAGTTTTGAGAACCCACGCGGTAAAACACCGTCTCGCTGATACAGTTACTAGTCCCCTGGTCCTAGCGCGGTGTTGAACTTCCCCTTCCCACGCCTCATAGCAGACGCTCCCACAGCGTAAATACCACCAGGCCTCTGCAGGAGCCGGCGTAGCCAAGGGCCGGGCCGCCCAGAGGGCCGTGCGCGGCGGGAGGGACGCCAACGTCGGCGTGGCGCACAGTGCTGACGCAACACGCACGCGGGGAGGGCCGCTCGTCGACCGGCGACGGCGCTGCGTCACGGGCTTTCAGGCGCTTCGCTCTTGGAGACGGCGACGGCTGTGGGCCTCGGCTCTGGCCTCCCGCGCCCTGGGAGTCAGGTCGGTGGCGCGATGAGGCGCAGCAAGGCCGACGTGGAGCGGTACATCGCCTCGGTGCAAGGTTCCGTCCCATCGCCCCGAGAGGTGAGTGGGTCCTGGAGAGCCAGGTGGCCTCCGCCCTGGCCCTGCCGCGGCCCCGCGCGGCGCCGGCGTCATGGCTCCCGGCGGCCGCCGCTCCCTGGCGCGTTGAAGCGCCGGCCGGCTCCCGCGGTCCGGTGGGCGGCGTGGCGCTCGTGAGCTTGAGGTGGAGGGTGGAGGGTGGAGGGTGGGGGTGGGAAGGCCGCGGCGGGTGCCGTTGGCGCCAGCTCTTCCTCTTCCTCCTGGCCTGCTCCTGACGGTCCTTATTGGCGGGCCCATCGCGTCCCGGGGTTCTCGGCTGCGTCCCCGCGGCCTCGTCACCGGGGCTCCAGGAGCCTGCCATTTGCGGCGGGTTTCTTCTTTCCCAGACAGTTACAGCTGTGGCGGAAGCGTGCCGCTTTAGAGGTCCAGGCTTTAGAGGTCGGTGGAACCCAGCGTGGGGGCACTGACGCTCCTCCCGGGGGGCTTTTACTGCGGTGACGGGCAACCATCGTAGGCATCCAGCGGACTGGTGCAGGGGTGGCCACACTTGCAACTCCCTGACAGACCGCGCAAATGACACTGGGAGTTTCCTCTATTTTGAAGCATCTGTCATTGTGCGTTTATAAGGATTCTGTCCCTGCTCTTCACACTCCACTCTCCCACTGCCTCTACTCATCTGCTTTATTTTTTTAAAACGCAGTCTTGGGTATTCTGAATTTCTTACAGGCCGTTGTTACTATGGCTTAAAATTTTTAGGCTTTTTGACAACATGCTCAGCGTATTTTTTCTCTTTTAAGTTATTTTGTGCCAGATATTTTGGGTTCATCAGAATCTTAGTGATTGGATATGGAGGGTGAGCAAAAAGGCTAAGTGTAGGTGGTGCGCACAGGATCTTGAGTCCGTTTTCTTGGGAGTTAAATCACAGTACTGTCATTTGTAAGCTTTGTGATTTGAGGCAAGTTAAAAAGTTCAGTAAGTTGGAGTAATGGTATTGATAGGGGTATATAGGAGGACTCATGGTAAACATTTAGGGCAATGCCTGGCATATAGTAAGTACTAAACGTTGATGTTAAAAGGACATTCAAGCTCTCTTCTAGGTAAGGGCCTATGAGAATAAAGATGTGTGAGGAAATTAAAAGAAACCCAGGGATGAACATAATAATAGCTGCATAACTGTATCTTTAATCATATACTAGGCATATGTCTTTGTAGGATTTTGGTAATGGGTCTGGTTTTAGTTTGTTTTAGGAATAAGGGAGTAGGTTACAGCTTGTTCCACCAGAAGAGAGGAATAGGTACCTACATACAGATTGTAATTTAACTGCTGGCATAGTCATAAACAACAAATGTGGTGCTGGAGTCTAAAACAGAACTAAAGGTTTCTGTACTGCTGAAATTGACATACTTTTTAAAAAGCCAAGTTTAGAGCTTTCATGAGATTTTTAGTAGGGACCCTGGCTCCTAAAAGATTAAGATCTTAATTCTGTAGATAGAATTTAGAATGTTCTTTGAACTACCTAACTTTTCCATCAAATAAAGGGGGATGGAGTCAGAATTTTAAAGACTGGTTTTTATGGCCACCTCTGTTTTACATTTAAAGAGTATTATTTTAATCAGATTTTTTCTTCAAACAGGAAAAATCATTTACTTTAGAACTTGGGGATTTCAGTGGGATTTTTATTAGCAAATGAGTAACTTTGTAACAGGTGGTGGTATTCTATAAACTTAGGTATAAGTGAAAGCACAGAACAGGGTGCTTTGGATAGTTTCACAGGGAGAGGGTGGTGGGGGCAGATACGTGGCTTTGAAGAGTAGAAAGATTAGTATTTACTTGGCTTCCAGTTTGGTAGAGATTGGCGGTGTGTGAACTGGTGCTGCTTTCTGGGATGTCCTAAGTTCTGGAATGCAATGATGGCTACATTGTCTTACCTTTCCAGGCTTCTGTTATGCTTTCATTTGCTTGTCTTTTTTGTTTTGTCATTTTCTGTTCCTTCATGCCTGCTTTTGTCCTTGTTGAAAGTATCACTTGTGTTTCTTTTCTTTCTCCAGTTAGATTCTGTTAGTTTTCCTAGATTTCTGTTGAGTTGGCCTCCCAATCCACACCCCTAATTCCTACTGCTCAGATGCACTCTGACAGCTCCTAGTTGTTTGTTTACCATATACTTTAGACTTCTGAATAATATGATACATACTTTTATTGGTCTGTCTCCTTTTCCCTATTTTAGATATTTTCACCTGTGTCCTACAGATCTCTGTCCACAGATTTTTCTCCCCCTCATCTTCCAGTTTTGTTGTTGTAATTTTTGGCTAGATGTATAATTTTTGTTTATGTAATTATGATAAGGTACATATTTTGCATTTGAGCCACCTTTATTGTGTAGTTTATTTTTCCTGGAGCTAATAGTTGCTTTATTTTTTTGGTTTGTTGAGTTATCTAGGAAGAATTACTAATTCTTTACCCAAACTCAGTTTAGCTCTCAAGTGTGATCAAAGAGGTCACACAATCCATTGATTTCAGCCTGAAAATTTTTTTAAGAGTCTTTCTTGTGGAGCACTCTTGTCTTACTGCTGCAGTCTGGATTGGCTTCTCCTTCTCTTGGCTACACAGTTCTACCTCTGGGGCTTGGCTTTATCATCATTTTGAGAATAACCAGTTTTTTTTTTTTTTTCTTTTTTTTCTTTTTTAGACCCTAGGTTTTTTGTAATTTATGTCCTTCTGACTTTCTCTGTTTTGTTGTAGCACAGTCTCCAGTTTACTTTGAGAAGGGATAGATGGGATTTTTTTTTTTTTTTTTAACATGATAAGCCTGAAGACGTCTTCACCTAATTTTTAGTTTGGTTATCAGATTCTAGGTTTGAAATAATTTTTTTCTCCAATTCTGAAAGTTTTTTTTTTTTTTTTTTAAGATTTCTATTTATTTATTTGACAGAGTGAAAGAGGGAATACAAACAAGGGAGTGGGAGAGGAAGACGCAGGCTTCCTGCTGAGCAGGGAACCTGATGTGAGGCTCAATTCTAGGGCCCTGGGATCATGACTTGAGCCAAAGGCAGATGCTTAATGACTGAACCCCCTTGGTGCCCCCAATTTTGAAAATATTGCTTTATCTTCTGATCATTTGTATTGTTAGAAATCTGATGTGATTCTTGTTATTGATAGCTTTATAGGTTTTCTGGAAGTTTCTTTTAAGTTGGAAAACTCACTTCCTTCAGTTTTGGGACATTGTTTTATTTCTTTCAGCATCTCTACACCGCCCCCCCCCCCCAACCCATCCCAAGCTCCCTCCTCTCCTCCCCCAATCTTAAATGTTTTTGTTAACTGAACGTTGGGTCTGGTTTGCTCTCCGTATCTTTCTTTCTTGTGTCTTTGTTCTATTTTTAATCTTCTCTTCCAAGGGAAGGAGATTGGGGAACTCGTCGTTCAGTATCTAGACTTTGCTTATCTGCCTCTATAACTCCTGCCCTTACCCTTGTTAGGACTCCTCATGTTTGGAGCCTGTTGATTTATACTGGGAAAAAATCTATTTGCTTTAGCTTTTTGCAGTGTGTGTTGGGGACCTGGTATAATGGTGGAGAGTGATTTGGCTGTGCAAGAGCTGGGTTAATGTGACGTCCCTCCAGGTCTCAATGTTCCTCTTTTCAGCCCCACATCAGTTTTGAGAGTTAAAAGTGTAAATGAATTTAAATATTACAGTGGCATAAAGTGTCATGGAAAGAAGCAGTGACTGAATCATGGATCCTGAATCATGGACTGACTGAATTATGGATAACATTGACTCTTTTTCTTTCTACCTATGTATCCTTAAACAAGGCACTTAATCCCCTTAGGCTTCAGTTCCTTTATAAAATGAACAGAATAGAGACAGAAGAATATCAAACTTCCCCACAATTTTATGGTTCTGTATATTATTATTTAATAATTGCTGTTCATTTATCCTAAGATAGACTTCAGTGGGATATTTCGAAGCAAAATAGTGGAGTTGGTTTTTCTATTATGTGTTAATATTGTAACTAGTGGGAATCTATTCATTTTTTAAAAGGGGGAAGAAAGCTCTGTTCATTGTAATGCCATCTTGATTATTGTATATTGTCATAAACTGCTTCATAGGTCTTAAATTTATGGATTTGGGGAGGGGGAGGGAGGCTCTTATGATTGCACTTCTAGCCTCCTTGTTTTTCTCAGGTGTTTATTAATACTGAAGTTTAAGATTGCTTGTAGTTCTTTTATATTTATTCAAAAAATTTATTTATTTATTTATTTAGAGAGACTCTGAAGCAGACACCATACTGAGTGCAGAGCCCAGTGTGGGGCTCAGTCCCATGACTGTAAGATCATGACCTGAGCTGAAATCAAGAGTCAGATGCCTAACCAACTGAGCCACCCAGGCGTCCCTATAGTTCTTTACTTTTAAAATATATCCTGTTAAGGATGTATACTCAATACTGTTATACTGAGGTCTCTTGGAATAGTTTTCTGAGAATATGTCACTATTTTGACATTTGACAAAATGAAAGGATATTTTATATAGCTCTATTGAGATACATTTTACCATTTAAAGTGTACAGTGTGATGAGTTTTGGTATGTTATGTTATTGATGTTTTAAGTTATAAAATATATGTAGTAAATCTGCCATTTTAATGCCTTTTTAAAAGTTTTTTATTTTAATTCCATTGTTAACGCTGTTCTATTATTTGCAGATACACAATATAGTGATTGTATTGTAGTGATTATACAGTGGTCATCATAAGTGTATGTCTTTAATCCCTATCACCTATTTCACCCATCCCCTTTCCCATTTCCCCTCTGGTAACCATCAGTTTATTCTCTGTAGTTTAGAGTCTGTTTCGTGGTTTCTCTCTCTCTTTTTTCCTTTGCTCGTTTATTTTGTTTCTTAAACTCCGCATGAGTGAAATCATACGGTATATTTGTCTCTCTCACTTATTTCCCTTTGCATTATACTCTCTAGCTCCGTCCATGTTGTTGCAAATGGTAAGATTTTGTTCTTTTTTATGGCTGAGTAATACT